ACTGCACTCCAGTCTGGGCGACAGAGTGAGACTCCAACTCAAAAAAACAAAATAAAATAATAATAATAAACAAATAAATAAATTTACCACTTCACCAACTGTTTTTCCTATATGCCCCTTTTTCTTTGTTTTCTCTCTTGCCTGCCTTTGGGTTGAGCTCATTTTTTTCTCCATTATTTCACTTTTGTCCCATTAGCTTAGTAATAATCTCCTAAAAATCTTGGCTGGGCACGGTGGCTCATGCCTATATCCCAGCACTTCCGGAGGCCAAGGTGGGAGGATAGCTTGAGCCCAGGAGGTTGAGACCAGCTTGGGAAACATAGCAAACATGTCTCTACAAAAAAACCCAAAAAACTAGCTGAGCATAGAGGCATATAGTCCCAGCTACTAGGGAGACTGAGGTGGGAAGATCGCCTGAGCCCTGGTCACGCCACTGCACTCCAGCTTGGGTGACAGAGTGAGACCCAGACTCAAAAAAATTTTGTTCAAATTTTAAAAAAACTTTTAGAGTGATTACTCTCAATATTACAACATGTCACATTGAACATTCAAGTTTAATATGAAAGTACAGCATAAGCTTTTCTCAGGAAAAAAAGGACATTAAAACATTTAAGTTCATTTATCCCTTTGCCAACTTATATGCTATTGTTTTCATGTATATTAGTTGTTTTTAAAATCCTCAAGGCATTACTTCTTCTTTAAAATCACTACTTATTTAATCCACATATTTACCCTTCTTTTTTATTATTCCTTCTTGCATCTCTGAACTCCCATCTGGTAATATTTCCTCTCTGCTAAAAAACAATTTTTTTGTGTAGAGTTTATTAGGGAAAAATTCTCATTTGTTGTGTGAGATTTTTAGTTTTACCTATCACACCCTTATTTTTTAAGTTTTGCTGCCTCTAATTTAGCAGTTATTGCTTCACTTTAAAAAGGCCATTCCTTGTCCTCTGTTTCCCACTGTTTCTATTGAGAAGACAGTTGTCACATTTTGGTCCTTAGAAGGTAATATGCCTTATTTTTTCACTGCTCCAGATTTTTTTGTTTTCAATAGTATTAGTGATATTTGCATACAAAGGATTTTTTAAAATATATTTTGCTTGAGGTTTGTAGGCTTTTAAAATCTATAGCTTGATGAGCTGTTTTTAGAAAATTCTTCAGCATTAACTCCAAATAGTCTCTACTTCTCTATTTTTGGGTCTCTATTTGTTTGATGTTAGCCCTTCTCTCTGTTACATTGTTTTCTGGTTCTTTTCCATTCTTTTTTCTCTGTATAAATCATTCTGAATTTTTTTCTGCTGACCAAACTTAGTTCATTATTTCTCTTCAGCTGTGTTTCATCTGGTATTATACGCATTCGCTAAATTCTTTAGTTCTAACTTTACATTTATTTTTAGAATTTCCTTTCAAGTTTTAAATTCTCAGGTAACTAAAAATTTTCAATTTTTTTTCCTCTCAATCACACCACAAAGTTATTTTAAGTCCATTAATGTCTGAGAGCTTCATGTGGTGCCTGCTAACTTCTGAACTGGATACACTAACCCACAAGTCACAACAGGGCTGGACCAGGGCAGAGGCCAACCACTTAAGACTTGCAAAGAATGGACAAGCAAAGAACATAAACAATCAACCCTTGGTATATCTTTGGGTTCCACATACCCAAGGATTCAACCAGTCAGGGATCAAAAATGTTTTTAAAAATCACTGTACTGAACATGTACACTTTTTTGCCATCATTTCCTAAATAATACAGTATAGCAACTATTTACATAACTTACATTGCATTAGGAATTATAAATAATATAAAGATTAAATTTTTTAGATGTAAGTATGTGCATAGGTTGCATGTAAATACTGCGCCATCAGAAACTTGGGCATCCATGGATTTTGGTATCCACACAGATTCTGAAATCAATTTTCCATGAATACCGAGGAATAACTGTTCTCTCTGAAACCTCCAGTAGAAAGCTGATCTGATCATGCTCATTGTTTCCTTCCCATTTGCTACTGCCAGGCGCCCTCAGGGTCATTATTTTTTGTTACATTCTCAAGTTTGGAAATTGTCATGCAGGTAACTTGTCTGCTTAACCCCACAAAAGCACAGACCGATGGCTACAAATTCTCAGGGGAAAAACCTTTTCCTCCTAATACCCTAGGCCAAATCAGCCTAGTTTTCTCTCAGTCACTCTTTTCTATAGGGCAGATTTTTCTTACCTATTCTTTCAATGAAGATGGTAGCTCTTTGAGATGTTTTGTATGCAGAGGTTTCAGGGCTTTAAGTACCATGTTCTTGGAATGGATGATGGGAAATCAATAAGATATTAAACAACAGAATAAAGGTGACCAGACAAATTTGATGAAATACTTACCAGAGTTACAAGGTCAATCACTCAACCACATCCTCAAGCATACTATATTCCAAGAAAGCATTGGTTCTCAACTGGGGGCATCTCCCCACCCCAGGGAATATTTGAAGATATCTGGAGAGATTCTTGGTTGTCATAACTGGAAGAATGCTGCTGGCATCTAGTGGGTAGAGGCCAGGGATGTTGCTAAACATTCTATAATGCGCACAAGACAGCCCTCTACAAAAAATAATTATCCTACCCAAAAATGTAGCAGCAGAATAATAGAGAAACAAATAGGCACAATAAAACATACATGTACAATGTACAGGAGAGCCTGGATGTGGGCAGGGGAATTCATGAAACACTACAATAGGGACCTAGAGCTTATACTGAATTAGAAAGATGAATTACTTTGGAAGGCAGGGAATCGGGGAGTATGTATACTCTAAGCACGAGTATGAAAGTGAGATGTATATTCTCCTACACGTTTAGGGAACTACAAATAATTTGGTATGACTAAAATTTAGGGGCAGACCAGGTAGGCAGAGAGTAATGGGGTAAGATGAGACTAAAAAAGAAGTCAGGGACTAGATCACAAAAGGTCTTACATACTAGATGAGGAGTTTGGGCTTTACCTTGCAAATAAGGTGGTGGTAGGAGGTTGACATTAACGGTTAACAAAGAGAAAACAGTAAGAATTTATTTTAGAAAGATCATTTTGGCTATAGTATGCAGAATGGTTTGAGGGCAAAATAAGGTAAAGACCAATTAGTAAACAACAAGAATAATCCAGACCAGAAAAGACTGGAAACAGAAGCAAAGCCCTGAAAACCAATATAGAAGGGTGGATTTTTTAAAAAGTACCATCATCGGTCTTTAGTGTCCGAATATAAAACGAGGAAATAAGATTTAATCCCAGTTTTCAAGTACAGGAGGAAAACATTTAGGAAAAAGATAATGAAAGATAATGCTATCCCAATGAGATTATTTATTAAAAAGTTATGCAAGCTGAGCGTGGTGGCTCACATCTGTAATTCAGCACTTTAAGAGGACAAGGTGAAAGGATTGCCTGAACCCAGGAGTTCGAGACCAGCCTGGGCAACTTGGCGAGACCTTGTCTCTACAATAAATAAAAAATTAGCCAGGAGTGGTGGCATGTATGTACCTGTAGCTCCAGCTACTTGGAAGGCTGAGGTGGAAAGATGGCCTGAGCCCAACTGGTCAAGGCTGCAGTGATAGTGAGCATGCCACTGCATTCCAGCCTGGGCGACAGAGTGAGACTCTTACTCAAAAAAAAAAAAAAAAAAAAAAAGCTATGCAAGTATATATCTGGGTCCTTGTGTTCTGATCCCTAATTATCATCCTTCAAACAACAATGGAAAATGTTTTTGAAGTCTTTTCCTTCTAGTTCTATATCATATTTTATGTGTATTTACCTTACTTCCAGATATTTCCTGTTACGCTGTTTTCACAAAAATAAAACACAATGTCTTTATTTTATTATTTAAGCATTTAATGTTTTAAAATTCAAGGTACTTTAATTTTTTAAAAAACAAAGATTAATGCAAATAATATTACCTTTCAATTATAACTTTATAACAGCAAAGTGGAAGGGCGGTAAATAGATTCCCTTTACAAAAATCAGCACTTACATCAAAACTAAAGGAATGCTTGTATGTTCAGCTAATTCAGAAAGGGAATAATAACACCTAAACACATGGGTAAATGCCTTATTTTAATCCAATAAATAAAGTACATACTGGATCATATAAAGTTTTCAATATGCCATTTAAAATAAACTACCCTGGAAAATAAGGTTTTTAAATCATTCAATATAATCTATGAAATAGAATCTAGTTAACAAGATTTATCTTAAATATAGCAGACACACATTTACAATTGGCAAAATAAAAACCAACAAAGCAGTTTGCATCTGATTGTCTGGTGTTCTGATTCCCTGGATTTTTTTCTAAGAATAACAATATAAACAAAGCTTTTTTGATACTCACTATATTACAAGTAAAACTATCTATTTATAATTATTAACTTTCAATAATATGACTTATCAGTGAACACCAATACAATACTTTAGCAACCATCTTATGTGAAATGACAAGTGGAAAACACATTTCTCAACAATGGGTCACCAAATTCCTTCATGTAACAATTACCATTAAAAAATTAACTTATTAAGAAACTCTATGCATGCAACAAACATGATTACACATTTTAAAATTAAACCGAAATAAGCTATGAAACTTCACTTTTCCTCTTTACAAAAATAAAATTGTGAACAAATTTAATTCTAAATATTTCCTTGTTATTTTGAATTATCTCTAATACTATTTTACTATTTATTTAACCGCTTCTTTAGATTCTCAAGGTGTTCTGTATTTACATCTTGTAATGCCAGTACCATTGCTTTAGACAAGAAAGGATTAAATGTAATAGTCATTACACAGCACAAATCTATTAGATCTCTCTGGCATTTCTGCAAACCTTCCAGGAACTTTTGGTATTGAAGAGGATCCTTTTTTAACCGTTTCATTTCTGGTACCGAGAACCCAATCAGACTAGTGAGTATTTCATTTACAAAGTCCACATCTAGATATGCAGTACCATCAGAAACCTTTGCAGTTACACTCCAAATGCCACCAGAACTTGAGAGATTTCCAGTTAAAGTTACAATAAATGCTTTGACTTTCACTGTTGTAACTTCCTTTGGTTTGCTGGCCATTAGAACAGACAAATAGGTAAAGGGTGGAGAATACAAATCCATTGCTACAGAAAGATCAGTGCTATTCTCTGATGACATTAAAGAACAAGTCTCTGAATGGTGGTCATTATCATTAGAAATTTGTGAATTCCTTTTTCGTCCATGGTTAACCAGTTCTCTATGTGATACTTTATTACTTAAGGAATGTCCATCTGAACTGCTGATGGTTTGCTTTATTTGATTATCTGTCTCTGAGTTCCTATCTTTATTTGTAAAATCATGTGCTAAGGGTACATTACAATGAACTGAAAAAACACTACTGCTTTGATCTCTAGCAGGTGGACAATCAAAAAACTTGTCTTCGTTAGTCATTTGCTCAGATAAATTTTTTTCATTCCAATCACTGTTTCCATTTTTGCAAATCAAAGAAAAATCATTCATAGTATTAGGGTTATGTGAAACTCTCTCTCTATTTTTATCTGCATTTCTGCTCAAAGTCAGTGGCCTCCGTTCTTTAGCTTCCCTCTGTTCTTTCTGGACAGTTTCTTCTAAAAGCAAGACCTCCTCCAATGAAAAGTCATCTAGTTCTCCATCAGTAAAATGCATAGATTGGTTTGGTGAATTCTCCTTTGGTCTTAGAGAAATACCAAATCCTGGTTCAAAACTTGATTGGCTTGTAGAAATAGTATTTGAAGAACTACCTGTGTTGAAACATCTTCTTTCCAAGGAAGTGTCATTATTTTCTGCAAGCTCATCATTTTCATCAAGACTTGCCAAGAGTTCTTCATCAGAAGGTCCTAAAGCAGGATCTAGAACATCTGTAACTCTGGCGATGTTCTGGTTAGCATTATTTGATACAACTGAAACTACAGGATCGGGTTCTCCAATTAACCTTGCAAGTACTTTTTCTTGGGCATATTCTTCTAAGAGAGCATCGACTTCACCTCCTAACACTTTCACATTTTCAGGTTTCAATAAGAGAACACCAAGACGGAAAGAAATGTTTCCGTAAATCAAAATTTTTGTACCTGGAGGAAGATCACTATGAAGAGCTGAAATAGACTGATATTCCATTCCCTGTATTTGTACAATTCCATCAGTTAGCTGTAGCATTAACATCCGTGACGGCTTTGCTTCCCAAGGTTTTTGGGTTATTTGTGTTTCAGCTGTAACTAGCTCATTCACTGTATTCTTTCCTCTCAATTTCTGTATCTGGGAATATGCAGGTTGACTTACATCGACCAAAGAATTAATCTGCAGAGCATAAAATCCATTCAGTTCTCCCTTTGGAATTTCTAAAATGCCATCAGGTAAAAGAGGATGCTCCAAATCTCTCAGATCAGTAAGGAGCCACTGCTCAAACACTTGCTTATTTATCTGGGCCTGACTCAAATTAACATTATCATTCTCTTCTTGAATCCAGTTAATACAAGCTTCCAGCCACATTAGAGGTACTTTAACATGCCATGTAGCTAAAAGCCAGGTTTCAACTCTTAATGCAATATTGGTTACACTCATTTCTTTTAAATAAAAGAAAAAATATGCATATATTACCTGAAAACAAAAAACAAAAATATTATGATAATTCAGTGCATTTAAATACAGCTTCTATAATCCTCTATAATGCACAAACAGGCAAAAGCACATCCTTTAGAGTTTTATCTCTTCAGCATCTTAAAAATTCTGAATTTCTACATGGCAAAAATTCAAACACCAGAAGTAATCAGATGGCATAATGAGGAAAGCAAAAAGTTTGAAACAGATATACCTAGTTTTGAAAGCTGGCTCTGTCAAGTTACAAGCTATATAACCTAATGTAAATGTCTTACACCTTCTGTAGCCCAGTTTTTCTCCCTTTTTCCTTTTTTTTTTTTTAATGAGACAGGGTTTCACCTGTCACCCAGGCTAGAGTGCAGTGACATTATCACAGTTCACTACAGCCTCACTCGCCTGGGTTCAAGTGATCCTCCTGCCTCAGCCTCCCAAGTAGCTAATTTTTCTATTTTTTGGAGAGACAGGATCTTGCTTTGCTGCCCAGGCTGGTCTCAAATTCCTGTCCTCAGCAATCCTCCCCCCAAAAAACCTGAAGTGCTAGGATTACAGGAATAAGCCACTTCTCTCAGTGCCAGTTTTTCATCTGAAAATATCAATACTACCATTTATCTTATAGGGTTGTGGCCAGGATTAAATGAGTTATATCTGTAAGGCATAACATCAAATCTACAAAAGATAATAAACAGTAGTCACAGGCCTGGTGTGGTGGCTCACGTCTGTAATCCCAGCACTTTGGGAAGTGGAGGCAAGAGGATTATCTGAGCTCGGGGGTTCAAGACCAGCCTGAGCAACATGGCGAGACTTTGTCTCTACAGTAAATCAAAAATATAAGCCAGGCTTGGTGGCACATGCCTGTGGTTCCAGTTACTTGGAATGCTGAGGCAGAAGGATCACCTGAGCCTAGAAGGTCAAGGCTGTGGTGGCCGTGAGCATGCCACTGCACTCCTACCTAGGTAACAGAGTGAGACTCCATCTCAAAAAAAATAATAATAATAGTAGTCACAGGTAGTTCCCCCCTTATACATGAGGAATATCTTCAAAGACTCTCAGTGGATGCTTGAAACCCTGAATATTACCAAACACTATATATATGTATGTATGTATGTATATATAATGGATTTTTCATCTTATAACCAACCAGTTACTAAGTGACTACAGGGTAGGTAGCATAAGCAGTATGAATACACTGAACAAAGGAATGATTCAAGTCCTGGGCACAATTTCATCACGTAACTCAGAATGGTGTGAAATTTAAAAGTTATTGTTTATTTCTGGAATTTTCCATGTAATATTTTCAGACCCCAATTGACTACGGATAACTGAAACCACAAATAAGGGGGAGCTATTATTATATTAGCATAGTAATCAGATTCTAATAATCTAAAACGTAGTTAAGAAACAAGGTTCACTAAGGTTCTTTTCACATTTATAATTAACTCTATTAAAAGTTATACCACTGTGTTTGGCCATTTAGCGCTCAAATATGTGGCCTAAGGATAATTATAACAAATAATTTTAGACTTCAAGATGATGCAAAGCATCTTATTTGCTTGGCTATCTTTTGTTTTGTTTTGAGTAGGGAGGTCTCCCTCTGTTGCCTAGACCAGAAGGCAGTGGCACGATCACAGCTCACCACAGTCTTGAACTCATGGGCTCAAATGATCCTTCTGCTTTGGCCTCCCAAATAGCTGGGCTACAGGCACACATCGCCACCCTGGCTAAGTTTTCTTGATTTTTTGGGGGAAGTTTTCTTGATTTTGTGGTGCCCACACTAGTCTTGAACTCCTGGGCTCAAGGGATCTTCCCAATTACAAGTATAAGCCACTGTGTCCTGCCTTGTTTGGCTAATATTTTCAACACTCCTGCCAGGAAAATATACTTAACTTCTGATTTTCTCAGTATGATAAAGCAGTAATAGCAAAACACTAAAGACTAATTGACCATGTGTCATTTTGTTCCTTCTACAGATGAAGATATTTAAGAGGCAGATTTTATTAAAGTTTTAATATATCCATAAGAAAAATTACCTCTTGGAACAGGAGCACAGGATTTGATGACAAGATTTGGAACTAGTTGTTCAGTGGAATACTTGAAACCTCTCAGAGACGGCCCTGGGAGGTAAGACAAGAAGCAAAATCATAAGATGAAGATATAGAAAGACCAGACAATTTTCACAAGTATAAGAATTTGATGGTACGGTTCTTGAGGATCCTGTTAACAATCATGGTAGAGTGGAGGAAGTATAGAATAAAAACATGAAGTTTGCATGAGGTGTAGTAGCTCAGGCCTGTAATCTCAGTGTTTTGGGAGACCAAGTCAGGATTATTACTTGAGTTTAGGAGTTTAAGACCAGCCTGGGCAGCACAGTGGGACCTCATCTTCTACAAAAATATGAATTAGCCAGGTGAGGTGGTGTGCTTCTGTAATCCCAGCTATTCGGGAGGTTAAAGTTCTGAGAGAATGTCTTGTGTCCGGGTGTTCAAGGCTGCATTGAGCTACAATTGCACCACTACACTCTAGCCTGGGTGAGAGAATAGACCCTTTCTCCAAAAAATAACAACAAAAAACACATGAAGTTTGGAGTGAGATAAGCAGAAATAAGTGACCATGAGAAAGTTATATATTCTCTCTAAGTCTGTTTCCTTATCTGTATACTTACCTCATAGGGCTACTATGAAAATTAAAGATAGGAGGAATGGTATTTGACGCAGTAGTCAGAGTACATCTCTGGTATCAGACTATCTCTCACTTACAAACTGTTACCCTAAACAAGTTACTCAACTTAAAAATATCCTACTTATCTCATTTGTAAAGTGAGAATAAAAGAATTTTCCTCATAGGCTTGTATGAAGATTGAATTAATAGGGAAAATAGCATCTGGCACATAGCAAGAACTTGTTAAATATAAGCTATTTTTAAAGTTTAAGTACAGTACAGCTAGGCACATTGGCACACACCTATAATCCTAGCACTTTGGAAAGCCAAGGCGGGAGGATCCCTTGACCCCAGGAGTTTAAGATCAACCTAGACAATATAGTGAGACCCTCGTCGCTACAAAAAATTATTAAAACATTAGCCAGGTGTGGTGGTGCCTGTATCCCCAGCTACTTAGGAAGCTAACACAGGAAGACTGCTTGAGGCCAGGAGTTGGAGACTGTGGTGAGCCATGACTGCCACTGCACTCCAGTCTGAACAACAGAGTGAGAACCTGACTCAAAAAAAAAACCAAAAAAATTTCTCAAAAACTAGTTATTGTTATTTTTGACTGAATAACTGGTTACTAAATTGGATAAAGTCCTACGCTGCTCTGAAACTAGTGAACTGAGACTTTTTAAAGTTCTCAAACAAGAAATCAATGAACCTATCTGAGATTTTAGAAACTTAAACCCTGAAAATATTAATATAGCTCACCTTAAGCTACATCTCAGCCTTCCAAGTACCCAGAACTACAGGCGTGCGCTACCACACCCAGTTAATTTTTTTTTTTTAATTGTAGAGATGAGGTCTCACCAAGTTGCCCAGGCTGGTCTCGAACCTGTGGACTCAGGCAATCCTCTCACCTCAGTCACCAAAGTACTGGGATTACAGGCTTGAGCCACTAAAGAAATTTTGGCTGGGCACAGTGGCTCACACCTATAATACCAGTACTTTGGGAGGCCAAGGCAGGAGAATTGCTTGAGCCCAAGAGTTCAAGACCAGACTGGGCAACATAATGAGAACTTGTCTCTACAAAAAAATTTAAAAATCAGTCAGACATGGTGGTATATGCCTATAGTTCCACCTACCTGGGACACTAAGGCAATAGTATCGTTTGAGTCCAGGAGGTTGAGACTTCAATGAGCTGTGCTCATATCACTACACTCCAGCCTGAGTGACAGAGTGAGACCCTGACTCAAAAAAAGAAAAAATTTAAAATTTTTAAAAATTTCCCTGAGCATACTAAGTATACTTAAAAGTAAAACTTATATTCTTATGACTAGAAGATAATTAAGTAATAACAAGCATTTATGAAAAGAATCTACTACAAACCTTGGAAATAGAAAACAGTTTCCAGAATTAAAAACTCAATAGATGAGCCGGGCTCAGTGGCTCAGCCTGTAATCCCGCGCCTTTGGGAGGCTGAGGTGAGTGGATTGCCTGAGCCCGTGGGTTCGAGACCCGCCTGGGCAGCGAGACCTCATCTCTACAGTAAATCAAAAAATCAGCCAGGCACGGTAGCGCATGTTTGTAATTCCGGCTACTTGGAAGGCTGAGGTGGAAGGATCACCAGAGCCCAGCAGGTCGAGGCTGCGGTGGCCGGGAGCGGCCACTGCACTCCAGTCTGGGCGACAGAGTGAGACTCCAACTCAAAAAAAAAAAACAAAAACAAAAACAAAAAACTCAATAGATGGGATAAACTTCTGAAAAAAGACAAATGGAGAATTTATGCATTGGAATTTATCTAGAATACAGTACAAAGGAAGATTATGAAATTTAGCAATAAGAAAAAAAGGAACCGAGAGAAGATAGGCTTTAATATGAAATAACTACAGTTTCAGAAGGAGACAACAGAAGAGGTGAAGGAAATATTTGTTAAAAGATAATGGTTGAAGTTTTTCTAAAATTAAAAAAAAATACAATTTTCTAGGTTGAAAAAGCTCAGTGCTACTAATCAGCATTTTTATTTTATTTATTTTATTTTTTTGAGTTGGAGTCTCAGACTGTCGTCCAGACTGGAGTGCAGTGGCACGCCCCAGCCACCACAGCCTCGACCTGCTGGGCTCCGGTGATTCTTCCGCCTTAGCCTTCCGAGTAGCCGGAACTACAGGCACGCGCTACCACGCCTGACTAATTTTTGATTTATTGTAGAGACACAGTCTCACCAAGTTGTCCAGGTGGGTCTCGAACCCACGGACTCAAGCAATCCACTCACCTCGGCCTCCCAAAGTGCTGGGATTACATACAGGCTGAACCACCAGGCCTGGCCAGCATTTTTTAAAATCCGTACTTAAACATAGTA